ATATTACAGGATTTTGCCGTGTTGCGATTTAACTGTTTTCATGGTAGAAATCATAAGAATGCAAATCAATCGAACTATGCAATGCAACCATTCAATCGTTCATATATAACAGAATTTATATCATAAACTCTATTTATTCATTTCTTATGAAACTTTGCGGCAATAGCTTTTTGAGTCTTCTTGACAATCACTATTGTATACTGACTCTACATGTAAAATGGATGTATACATTTGTGATCATTTAATTCTAGTCGTTTATAAAAGACCTCTGACAGATTTACCACTACGGTGCTCTTCGTGCAGAATTTCGTCAAAGTGCCTTCTATTCTACTTTTAAATGCATTTTATATATCACATTTATTATTTTTAAGAATTTAATTTATTTGAATAAGTAATTTAATTCTAAAATTATTTATACTAAAAATTTTAATTGTAAAAATATTTACTAAAAAAGTACTTATATATGTTATACAAGTTTTCTACATTGTGTTATACATTCTTGTTTAATATTAAAATAAATAAGTTTTGTGTAATTTTCTACACTACTTTATACATATAAAATATACATATTATATATATTTACTTATTTACAAAAATCTATTATAATTGTTATATAATTATAACATAAGTACATACATATTAATAATATTATATTATTAAGTTAAAATATTGTGTATTTATTTAAGTGAATGAAGTATAAAGTGTGAACACGAATGCTGCCATTTCCAAAAGAAAAAGGTGATCTGTTCTAATTTTCAAAACTCAATCTGTTATACTACGTTTTATTTTTTTGAAATTAAGTATAACAGATTATCAAAAAAGAAAATTACAATGTATGGGTAATAGAAGATTATGAATAGAAAAAAGTGAACCGCTGGAACTATTTGCAATAGGAACAAGAAATAGTGAAATCAAGTTAAATTTCACAGAGCATAATATTTTGCCATATCAATAAACTATTCATATGTCTACTACAACTAAATATGAATTATTCAGGTCAGGTCAATCTTCATTTCATACTATGAGAAATTATTTTGTTTTAAATATGAGGTCTAAAAATTTCTAATTATAATATGGCAAATTAAATTGTTTCATATACTCTACACTCTCTCTCAACATATTGAGCAACAGTAAACAAGAATTAATAGTATCGTAGCCTTACCATATTTACAAAACATAAAAATCGCATTGAAACATTTTATGCTGTTGTTTAACTCAACACAAAATAAATTGAACACGTTAACGAATCAAATTTCTTAATCAAATTAAATGATATGAAACTCATTATAAAAGAAGCTTGCTTGTTATTCTAAAATTTCGATACTTACAGTTATATTATAATAATAATTTTACAATGATTTTTATTTCGAAATTTTTCAATAAGCATAAAAATTTCAATTCTATAAAATTAATCAATAACAAAATGACGACATTTAAGTAAATAGGTTATTGCAATTTTACGTACGTGTTTCAATAAAATGATTGAAATGATTGACAACTAAGAATGGATTCTATATGAATAATAAATTATTTGCCAACAGGGAAATCAATGGTTTACTAACTATTGGTTTTCTTTTTAATGGTGAAAATTTTCAAATGATGATTATGTAAAACACTATAAAGGGTTATAATGTTTTTATATACAAAATGATTTTAAAGCAAATTACTAAATTTCAAATTGAATAACAAAACTAGTTAAAAAATTAACTTTCATTAAACATGAAAATAATCGCCGCATGCCTGTTAATTTTTTTTTTGTTCGAATTTGTGTTGAATTTTTTTTTTTTTTAAATTTGCGAATTACATGTTTTTTTTTCTTGTCTTCAAATTAATAATTAATAAATTTAATAAAATTAAAAATTGAATTAAACATCAAAATTGAAAATAAAAAATATTTAAAATAAAAAATTATTGATAACAATAAAATTTCTAAAATGAGCGCTTTTTTTTTTAACTTAAATTTTATTTTCATTAAATAAATTTTTTTAAAAAATTTAATTAAAAGCTTTAAAGCGTTTTGATTTTTTTTTGCGTTTTTAAGTACAACTGAACATTTAATGCTTATTATTTTTTTTTATATTTAATTTCATATATGAATTTTTTTTGTTTTCAATTTAATTATGGTTATTAAATTATTGTATTTATTATTTTTATAAACAACATCGAAACAATGCTAGTAGTGACAGCGAAACAGCTTTGAATTTGAATGATGTTAAAAAAAAACAATCAAATTAAAATTAAACAGCAAAAAAAAAAAAAAAATAAAATTAATAATTAATTACTAAAATTTGATTTAAAACGATTTTAATATTTTTAATTTTTTGCTTTTTCTATTGTGAATTGTTGTACAAATGTCATAAAATATATTAACAGAATGTTACGAAAATATACAAGTACATTATGTTTGTATAATATGAGTGTGTATATTTCAAAAATTGAGTATGATTTTAAATGACAATCAATTTGATGTAAAAAAAAAAATTGTTGAAAATTGAAAAATTTATTTTTAATTGTGTAATTGGAAATAAAGATAAAAATAAGTGTCTTAATAATTAAAAGTAAAATTAAATTTCTATATGTGTGTTTTTCTTATTAATGCAAAAAAAAATATATATTTTTCTTTCTATAATTTAGAGCTGTGCAATTCTCTTATAAGTTAATGTCAAAAATGTAAATTGCCACATTCAATACTTTGATTATTAATGCGCTACCTGCAATGGAAAAATTCAATAAATGAATGGTAACACTGCAACAATCTACTGACAATAACATTTTTTTTTGTTGTATTAGTAGATTCAGTAATTTTGCCCCCCATAATATTTTACAAAGAAATTTCATATGGAAAGAGAAGACGATGGGACATGGAATGTTTACAATTTTTATTGAAAACCGTGCAGTGCATCTATAACAAAAATGTTTGAATTTTCGAGGTAGGTATTATTATTACAGGGATGAGTGACTTTCTTTCGACGTTAAAGTAATTGTGTAACATTTATGTGTGCTGTGCCCCATATAAAAAACATATATTACAACAAAAACTATTTTAAAGAAAATTAATTTTGATTTATAATATTGCAAAATATTTGACAATACTCAATCTCTAACAAATTTTTATGATTAGACTTATTGACAATGAACTTTAAAAATACTGAAAACTGCATTTAAAACGTAATTCTTCTGTAATTTCCTAAAACGCGCTCTTATTAGAGCTTTTGATAAACACTTCCAAATTGAGAATTTGGGTAATATTTTTCAAATCGGCGGCACACCAACATTTCCAGCTTTTTTGTTGGAATTAATAAAACCAGAAATAAATTAGATCATCCCGACATTTAAGAAATTGGAAATTTTATAGGAAATCAACTGATACTTGAATGAAATAAATTTATAATAAAAAATAATTTCAACCTACGTGACGGGCTAATGCCGTTTCGGATGCATGAGGTTAAAATCGTGCCGCCTTTTAACAGTTTAAGTGGGGCGTATAAGAGAAAGCATGAGAACTTTTAATCATTTTCTTCTGAAAATTGAAAATACCGGCCTAAAAATTTACTTTTCAAGATTATTGAAAAATTACTCGAAAAGAAACTCGAAATTACTTTTCGAATTGCACAGATCTAAATATTAAAATTAATATATTAATGACTGCTGAAGAAAGTTTTTGTTATATTAATTTCTTATTATCTTCTTAGTAGTGTCCACTTAATTTTATTAATTTTATTAAAAAAAAAAGAAAACTTTTAAATTTCTTGTTTAATTTTACAAGAATAAATATTATAATTTTAGTTTTCTAATTCTTATAAGTAGTACATTTATTTTATATAATATTATAATATAAAAAGATGAATTACAAAAAGTTGTGAAATTATACATAAAATTTCTATTTAATAAATTTAGAAAAAAATATTTACAATATTACAATAAAAAAAAGAGTTATGAAAAGCCAATTGATAGATAGATAGTTTTAATAAATTCTAAAAGTTATTAAATTTGTTAATTGAAAAGAAAAAAAAAAAGATTTACTTAAATGTTAAATTTTCTTAATATTTACAATCAATGCTCCAACAGTCAACATAAAATTGAGTAGTGAAAAATAATGTGAAATGTAAAAAATGTAAACGCATCTTAACGTCACTTAAGTTATGCTCTTTGTTAATATTTGTAAATCTAATTTGACATTTTTACTCAATATGTTTTATTTGACAATTTGTGTATTGCGTTTTGAATTTTAATATTTACAATTATATTTAGTGTGTTAAATATTATAATAAAAAATAATAAAATATAGAGAAAATTAATCTAAAAAAATGTTTTGTGTATACACAATTAAAAATTTATTAAAAATCTTAGTTAAAAAATTAAGAATTTTCTTAAAAATTTCTAAAGAAAAAATAAATTAATGAATTTCCCATTTTTCAAAAACTTTCACTCATAAAATTTCAATTGATTAGTTTTCCGGTACAAATAATTAAGATTGAAATTCCTTCTCTAATAACAATTAGATTGAAATTTTCGATTACTTATTCCGATTAGATCAAAAAGGCATAATGAAGCGCGAAAAAACTCTTAGTAAAACTTAGTGTCAGACATACTTTCGCCCCGACTATATAGCATTTAAAATTTCAAGCGACATCTTGAAATTAACAAAATGGTAACATAAATTGTAACATACAAACATTTCAGTAATTCACCCAAAAATGTCGGTTCTATTGATAAATATTTGGTTGACATCCCAAAAATCTTAACCGGCAATCAATTTTAGTAAGTTTTCGTTTTGTTTTTGAAAAATGGGTTTTATATAAATTATTAAAAAAAAAACAAAAATTAAGAATTAAAAAGAAAATTAAATTTAATTATTCTACAGATTCCACAAAATACACTCTTCTAGACATAGCCATTGTTAGTTAATTTATTATATTTTTTTTTTTGTAGATATTTTTTATAATTTAAAGTTGCAATCACTTTTTTTTTTTTTTTGTATTGTACATAATTCCACTCACCACTACTAGCACCGCATCGACATTGATAAGTTGCTGAACGTTGAATTTGATTGTTATCAATGGCACCGCCTCCGCCTCTGCTACCACTACCATCACCTCCACCACCTTCGCGTGATGATGGTAGCCAACGATTTTTACGACAAAAATTTCTCCAAAGTTTTTCATATTTACTTGTTGTAAAATCACCATCAACATTATTACGTGCAATATCATTACCATTTTTATAATTTTGTAGCGATGATGATGTTATTGATGATAGTGGAGGTGATTGTTGTGATTGTAATCGACATTGACAGGTGCATTTACGTCTACGTAAACTTTTTAGACTATGTATTGCTTTTTTTGGACCAAAACTTTTTGCTGTATTTGTCGTTGCTGATACATTTTTTTTGTCAGTCTCATTTGCAATATCCTCGCCTTCAATAACAATACAAATGCCACCACGTCGCTTTAATGATGGTCTTCCCGGTCTTGGACCTAAATTGAGTTGTGATTTTGTTTTTTTCTTTTTATAATTTTTATTTTCATTTAATTTTTTTTTTTTTTTTGTATGAAATTTTATATTTTATGTAAAAATCTAAAAAGTTGCTCTTAAATGCTTTACTAGGGTACAGATTGTACCATAATCATTTTAGTTTCTTTTTTTATACTCAAAACGTGATTTATTCGACATTCTTTCAGGAATGTTTGTAACTTTTTTCAAAAAGTTTTTCATATATAATTTAGTTTGAATATTCTTTTTAAATATATTAAATTTTATTTAAATTAAACTAATATTATTTGTATAAAATATATAAACATAATTATATTACTGTTAATATTATAAGTTAAAAATTGTTAAATATCGTAAATTGTATTGTGTGTTATATGAAAGAGAAACTTTTTGAATGAAATTTTAAATTAAAAAACTGATAAACTAAAATTTAATACAAATAAAGTTGGGTCAAACCAATGGTTTGTATTGTAGCACTTTTCCCTTCAACAAGTGAAAATTCTGCTTTTAAATACAGTCTATGCATACCTATCACGCTATTAAAATTATTTTCATTCATATTTAACTATTTCTAGGATTGCATATATTTAGGATGATGCGTTCATGCAGTCTTTGAAATAAAGCAAAAATTAATATAAAGAGGAGTTAACATAATGATCGATTTTAAGGGTTAATTGTGTGAGTTAAGAAAAATAATTATATTTTTTAATGTCACGGAATTTACCGCTAACTTTTTATGTTTATAGAAATTTCAAAGCATTTGCGGTTTTGGAAATATAAGGCGCCAAAAATTCAAATTTTACAAATTTCAAGAGGCGATAACTTGAGAGGGGGTGGAGATGGAAAAAAATTTTCTTCTAACGAAATGAACTATTTGTTAATGTCTATAAGCCCCTAAAATTTCGAGCTTCTACAGGCTGGGGTCTAGAAGAAAAACGAAATCAAAAATTTGGAAAAAAAAGACTTTAAATAACGGTAAATTTGAACGGCCATTTTGTTTTTCTAAAGTTTAACTATAGTATATCGCGCTAGGGGAAGCAAGCCGCTGCCTTTATGCGTTTTGCAAAATTTCAAAAATGCTTATGGTTTCATTGCAGCAAATAGTTAAAAAAGGCCATTTTTAAGGTTTTGGGGAGGTATAACTTCTAAAGGGGGTGAGATAGGTAAAAATTTTGTTCTACGGAAATAAGTTTCTAGTAAAGATCTATGTACATACAAAATTTCAGCTTTGTATCTTCAAGGGTGTAGAAGTTTTGTAAACAGACGACGGACGGACGGACGGACGGACGGACGGTCGGACGGACGGACGGACGGACAGAGTGAAACTAATAAGCACTTTTTTTCAAAATTTTTTTGGAAAAGTGCTAAAAAGAGACAAAAAAAAATTAAAATGAGGAAAAACAGGAAAATCTAAAATTAGAAAAAATAAGTCTGACAATATGAAATGCTAATTTCAATGACTCGGAAAACACAGACTACATAACTTGTGTATGATGACAACAACAAAACATACGATGTCCAGATAATCCAGAATATAAGCCAAGAAATATAATATAGTTTTTAAGATTAACAACCGATTATTAATTTAATTCTGTTGTTATTTTTGAGTTTTATAAAATAACTAATTTAGCCAGCCAGCTTTTTTTACGGAAAGTCAACAACTATTGATTGCAGAAGATAAATACGTTAGCATTTTTTTAAATTCAAGCAAAAAGTGGAACTGTTAACAAGTCTTAAAAGCTTATTGTGCAAATTAAATGTTATTTTAAGAACTCAATTTGTGATTCAAGGAATGATAAACCCTCAGCTTATATCATTCATGAATCCGTAGCTCGCGAACCGTAAAAATTTAAGAATTTCAGTTTAAAATCGTAATCTCACTTATTTGAATTCAAGAATATCAAAACCCGGTTTTTAAATTTATCGCGTCCGTGTTGTCTATTGTAATCACGACAATAATTGAATTTCCGAGGTATATAAAATAAACCTTTTGAATTTTACAAATTTTTTTTTCCATAAAACATAAACGATTATGCCTATACAAAGGATTATCTGGATTATTTACTTAATTTTAATTAATAAACTTATTTATAATTTCGCATTTTAAATAAATTAATATTACTGTTATTTAAATATGTCTGCAAAATAAACTCAATAATTGCAATTAATTCGTAATACGTTATTAGCTTTATAATTTTCAATTTTAATTTTAATAAAACACAAAATTAGAAAGTAAGAAACTGAAAATAATTGTGAATTTGAGAAAAAAGATCAACAGTTTAAGAGTAAATTAATTGAAATTAAATTAAAAAAACTTAAAGCAAGAAGAAAAAAATAAATTATGCCAATTGACATTGAAACTTTTTAATAGTTTTTTCGCATTAGTTTTTCTTTGAAATAGAAAGTTATTCTTAAAAATAAATTCAAATTTCATTCACTTTAAGCTCAAATTTTAATTAAATTCCACGAAATTTTAGAAAAAAATTTCGTAGTTATTTCCATAATTTTCGTAGTTGCATTCGAAATTCACTATAGGCTATAGGCAAAATTGCATTTGTGAAATTTCTAAAAATAGCTAATCTGAAAATTTTTAAATATTAAGGAAAACTTTAGTGTTAAGCATTCTTTTAGGTTTTTACTTCTAATTATCCTTTTTTTTTGTCTAAAATAAATCAAAGAAACAAAACACGTTTCTTTGTGTTTGTATATGAAAACTAAGGTAAATTTCGAATTGGATAGTTGAAATGTTATAATGGGTCTTACTTTAACTTCTAAATCTACTCGAAAAGCATTGAAAAATTAGTATAAATCTAATTATGATTATATTTATTTTCATTAACATATGAAATCTAGAATACAGGGTAACTATAGGGTTAACTATTTCCTAAATAAATGCACAATTTATAAGCTAATGTAGCAAAGCGAGCTGTGAAAATAAACTATTAAATTTAAACATTTTAACTTCAAACTGCTTGAATTTGGAACAAAGAAAGTGTTCTGATCAAGTTGTGTGAAGTTAAGATGAAGCAAAAACTTTTATCTTAATTCTAATAAAATAAAATTAGGAATTCGCATTGGAATTTATTGCTAACGTCTTTTCGTAACTTTCAAACACCCTGAATTTGGCGTTAAATCGTGAATTTGAACAACAAAAGAAGGACATAATAGTTGAACAAAAATTGTTTTGGGTACACCAAGAATATTCAAATTAATAAAACAAAATAAGAAACAAATACAAACAATAAGAAATCTGAATTGATCTTAAAGTACCTAACAACAGATCAAACTTTCAAATAGCTTTAGAAATAAAAAATATTTTTAATTGCTCTTGCAAATTCTTCTTTTTGTTATTATATTTCCATCTAGGCAAAATACTTTAGGCGTACATAATAAATGTTCTTATAGTAGTTCAATAATGATCGAGGGACTAAAATGTAAACAAGCCATGCAATTGTAATATTATTGTAGAATGCAATGTAGAGAACAAATCGCCGATAATTCATAAAAGCACCAGTAATTTCCTTATTCAAAAATATTTTGCAAAATTTATTTTCCATTTGGAAAACTTCTTCTGACATTGAAATTTATTTTAATATTTAGACCTCAGAAGTTTTGGACTATACCCCTGCTAAAGTAGCAAGTTCACAGCTAAATACATTTTCCTATGCAAGTAAAAAAATTGACAATTTCTAAAATTGTTTATTTATCTGTAATTAGAATTAGTGCATTTAATCCCATAATTAAAGCCCATAAATAAGTTTCCTCGCATTTAAATGAATAAAACTTTTAGTTGAACCAGTTTGCCCCCCCCCCCTTATTATTTTAATTATTAACAAATTTTTGATAAGACTCAACTACTTCCCCCTAAGAAGAAAACTTAACAAAGAATGGTTTGCACAATCCGCGACCATAACGTTTAATCTTAATATGATTTATAATAAATAAAAGAAACCGAAAAAATTATTTTAATTGCACAACGAGGTGTTCCTTTTTTCTGTAAATTATAAAATCGTGACCTAGGAGAAAAAATACAGTCTTTGGAAAATTGTCTCCTTAATTACTGAAGAACAAAAAAATTTAAATGGAAACATTTTAGTGGTTTTTTTTAATTTTAATTGGATTTGGTTTTCACGTTATTACTAAATTAGTAAAATTTTTATAAAATTTTCATTGTAATTTTAAAGTGCTTTTTTTATTATTCATCAGAAAAATTAATTTTAATTATTATTAATTATTAGTTGAGAAAGTTCATCTTTTGCTTCTCTAAAATGATAAGTGAGCGAATGGCACTAAAAATTTCTTCTATTGTTTTTAATGTTAGCAATAGTTTCGGTTCATAAAATTTTGAGATAAAAGTTGTTACTTTATTTTTTTTTTTTTGAAAACTTTGAATAATAGTTTCAGGAAACCATTTAAAGTTCAAAGATTGAATTATTGAAGCTTAACTAATTTCGTTTTAACTTAAATGAAATGAAAAATCAAAATCTTTGAACAAATTTATAAGTTAAAAATTGTATGGCGTGTATGTGCTACCGTAAGAAATAATGAATAATGTGAAAGGATTATTCAAAAGGATAAAACCGAAATATTTTAATTTTTAAATGGCTATGAAGGTTTCACTATACTGTAATAGTTATGTAGGTCACAAATATATGGAAAATAGAATAAACGAACGTTACAAGGAACTGATGTGTGGTTTTTCACACAAAGTGAAAAGGACATGCAATTTATCAAATTTTATCTTTATTCCCGAAGTAGGTATGTGTAATTCTTAGAGTTTCCATACTGTTCTTAAATTTTTCTTGATGTTACATTAAAAGATGGCGAATTGTACGACATATTTATGTGTCTTAGATCATATTATCTATTGTTATATCTGAAATATTTCGTATTTAGGAAATAAATCTCTTTATTAATTTCTACACACCTCAATCATTTTAATTTTCTGTAATTGATTCCGATTTTAAATGATCGCAATTAATTG